CCTGGCATCAATGACAGTCATGTGACATAGATGTGATTGGACTGCGGTTCCCAAGGCCCTCTAACTCACACCTATTCATATGATTTCACAGAACACCTGCTTTGCTTTGGTGGAGGGTCATTTCTGCTCTTTTTCTCATTATTGACCTAATGTTCAGGTGTTCCCAACCTTCTTTAGGGAATTTTTCTCATGACTTAATATTTTAAGATGATACTTTGAGATCTTTTTCAGAATCTAGCAATGATGGGAAAGATAGATCAGTGGTTAGCTCTAAATCTGAACTTGTTTTTCCTCTGAGACAAACAATCAAGACCAGCTCTTCTTTAGAAGACTACAGGGAGTTCCCTATTTTAGTTTTGTTAGAACAGTTTCAGTTTGTCAGAGTGGATGAATAAGGCTTAGAGCCACCTTTATAAGCTCAGTGATCCCGAATGAGAGTGAGCTGCCTTGGTTTACTCCTTAACAAAAAGAGATGGAATTCTAATCTGCTTTATAATGTCTGGTAATGATTAAATGAAATAATGTATGGAAAAGAGCCTGGCATGGGGCCAGACACGTAGACTTCAGAGAGCTGTGTGTCTGTCTCCTGAATGAAGTGTTTGTTGGCAGGGTAGCCGCCCATTCACATGTCGTCGGAGCAGCTCAGCGGCATGTGGGATTTTCCTGGAATGCCCCACAACCTTTGCTCCCTAAGTGCTGGCTAGTCGGCCAGCCTCGTTAGAGCATGCACCCGGCTCAGTGGTCACCATGGAAACCGCCAGAGCTCAAGTTTCTCTGCTTCTCAGAGGTTCAGGTCCGCCTGAACCAGACAGGGCAACCCTGCCTCCAGGAACAGTTCTCAGAGGAGCCCCTCTAGCCCTCACAGCTAGAGAACAGTAAATCTGACGGAGCAAACACTCAGAAGAGCAGGATTCAAAATCCGGCATTTTTATGTTTAAGTAATTTCTCTAGATCATGGTGTCTTTATTTGTAGAAAAAACTGATTAGACTACAAGCTTTTGAAATTCTTTTTTATAAAAAAAGAAATGAGGGACTGTACTCTAATCAAGGAAAGAGGTTGCACTCATTTGATGACACCTGCTACCAAATCTGGGGACTTCGTTTCCCCTAATGTATTTTGAACTTCAAGGAGAGGACTGCTCTCCTTCCCCTGAAAGCTGCCTCTCAATGCTCAGTTCAACGGGCACTGGGACAGCCTCAAAAATCTCACATTTCGTTTTTTTGTTTGATTGTTTGTTTTTTAACTATATTTTATGATTTTTTACAAGAAGAAGGGAGAGGGATAGAGAGTTAGAAACATCGATGAGAGAGAAACATCGATCAGCTGCCTTCTGCACAGCCCCTCCTGAGGGTGTGCCTGCAACCAAAGTACATGCCCTTGACCGGAATTGAACCTGGGACCCTTCAGTCCACAGGCTGACGCTCTATCCACTGAGCCAAACCGGTTAAGGCTCACATTTCGTTTTTATGCTGATGCCCACTCAGTTCCAGGAAGCTGAGGGTGGTGTATTATGGAATTAGCAGCATACAAGGTAGGCATTTGCAGCCCAGTGGAGGGCGCTGTTGTCAGGGATGATGAGATCCAGGAGCTGTAGAAGCATACTTCCTGGAGATGCAAACAGCAATTTGGCTTGCTGCATGCGGCCTTGCTAGAAAATCTCCCAGCTCCCTGCCATTCATTTAAACTACACCTAAAAGGCCAGTTACTTAGGTGATTATTTGAGAACTGAAAACAACAAAACTTGGGGTTGGGATTTCTGGTTCCCATGGAGAAGGTTCATTGTTTTCTCGCCTGCTCAGTGACTGTTAAGCCTTTCCCCTCATCTGTTGTGGTTTTTTGGGGATAGAGAGGATTTTTTTGTGGAGTAAAGATAAAATATAAAGTCAGTCTTCCAGCTGTCTATATTCTGAAGTGACAGGATTTGGGTCCTTCTACCATATCTGAGCCTCATTTTGAAGAGTGGCTGAGGGTGTCTGTATTATGTAGGAATGCTTCTGGCTACAGAGTAACAAAGTGCTTGGGGTTAGCATGGAGTGAATAAAAGAAAACACCTTTTTGTCCTCTGAAGCTCAGAACTAATTGAGAAATAAACATAGAAATAAACATATAGAGATTAAAATTCTGCTTTATTGCTGATAAGCTCATCAGAGGATGTAGCTTTAGCTTTGATGACGGAGGGACTTTTCACTATCTCACTGTGCTGCATTGTATTTCTATTGCTGTACAACAGATGATCAGCAATGCAGAGGCTTAAAAAAGTAACACCCATTTGATTTGTTATGTCACAGTTCTGGGGCTGACCACATCCCTGTGATGAGCTAAATTTGAATTCTGTCGGCGAAGAAGTTGGGGGAAACAAGTGACAGCCGCTAGCCACACTGGCCACTTACTGGGAAGCTGTTCTCCCTCCATTTGTTGTAAATCAGGTGACCTTTGAGGTCCTTGAATCACTTAGGGGAGACTGGATTATGCTATGGTAACAAATAACCCTCTGCCAGGGTCTGCTGCAGCCCAGACAGCACTCCAGGCTTTAATGGGTTTGGCGGGGGGAGGGGAGCTGGGGGGAGCAGCTAGGCATTGCACACTGGCTCTAAAGGGCTTTGGCCTCCAGTCACAGCCCTTTGGCCTGAACTAGTCACATGGACCCACCCAACCACAAAGGGGCCTGAAATGTTTTGTTTGATCTCCAGGAAGGGGCGGAGGTGGGAAACTGGTGAGCACTAGTAATCTCCTGTGCCCATTCCCTGGGACTATGCCTGGGCTCACTGTCTTGCAACAACCATCCCTAGCATTTAGAACAGAAGGCCTGTCGATGGCTCTTTGGGGAACACGACTCCCGTGAGACTCATCTCACACCCGAGGACTGGAACCTGCGGTTTGTTCAGTGACTTGCCTGAAGCGACTCAGTGAGTTGGTGGCACAGCCTAGACCCGGACCAGTAATCCTGCCTCCTCATCCAGGTGGGCCACTAATCTTTACTGTCAGAGGTAGGAGCCACGCCATGGATCCAATGTGGAGTTTAGGTGTTGTGAATATACCGTTCGAATTCGTGGAGATGATTTTTAAGTATTTACGTAGTACACAGTAAAAGTCCTTCCTCCTAGGTTTCCAAGTGCAATCTGGGCGGTTGGCAGTGAAGGATGATGGTTTGGGATGACGCGGGGTTGATCTTGGGTCCCAAAGCAGATTTGGGGAGCGGCAGCCTCTGTGTCCCCTGCTGTGGGCTGGCTCCTTTGCGGGGCCAGGCCAACTGTCACTTGAGGGGATGCTGCAGGAAATCTGGTTTGATGTTGGACTGGATCCCGTTGTCTTGCTCTGAGCTGGACTTTGGCCTCTGGTGGGAAGCAGCTGCCCCTTTTCCTCAGCGGGCTTCCTGATCGTACCTCTAACGAAGGGACACTCTTTTCCTTTTCCTTCCTTGGCCTTTTTCCCCAAGGACACCACAGAAATGTTCATTTGCCTCTGGAGCCAAAAGAGCCTGGGTGTAGCTGACACATAATCACACATTATGCTAGGTTTATTGGTGCCACGATTCCCTGGGGACTTCGGAGCCTGCCAAGTGCTTAAGACCCGGTGACTACGATCTCAATCTGCTAATGATGCTCAATTAGTGGGCTCGTCCATCACTTAGGATTGCAGGAAGGGGCTGGCAGTGGAAGCCAAGGACTCCTGGAGGCCTCTGCCATGGGCCTGGCGTGAGCGGAGGAGAGATTTGAAGGACACATTTACAGGAGGCTTCTGTTTCTCACAAGGAGTCTTGAGCTAGCTCCCAGCAGCAGTGGGGTTCACTTTATAAGATTAGTATTTCAGGAAGATCAAAAGCCTTGTTTTGGAAACAGGGTTTTCTTTTCAGCTCTGTGGGTACAATGTTCCAGTCCTAATAGGCGTAGAAGTGTTCATTGAGGAATGAGTTATGTACATCAGGGTTGTGCCTAAACAAGTGTGGGGGGAGCCAGGTGGTGGGCCCGGGGGGGCCCAGAAAGGGTGTGGAACTTCTGGGGAGTCACTGGTAAACCTCTGCATGTCGGGAATTTTGCAGGGAGACTCGGATTTGTCATTTGTCCAAGAGGATTGGACTGAGGTCAGACTGAATACTATGGCACCTCCGTCTCAAAGTCTAGAGATAAAATGCAAATCTGCTTCAAGGTTTTAGTCTATGCCAGGCGCTGGCTGTGGGCTTTGCCGGGAGGAAGCTGTGCAACAACCCTCTCAGAAAGGCCATGTCACCCTCTTCCTTGTATGAGACCAGAAGGTGCACATTGGTTTGGTGTCCTGTCCAAGGTCACCCAGGCCATAAGGGACAGAGCGAGGATTTTCAAGCCAG